TACTATAAAATTTATAGTATAGTATATATAAATTTAATTTACTATAAATTTTATAATACAAAATATATAAGTAAATTGGATTATTATAAAAGTAACAGTTACACGATATAAAATATATAATGTAAAAAAAAAGGTCACCATTTTGTTTTGATCAGATTTCATTTTAATCCATCACAATGAATACTACAAAGCAAAAACCAGAATTCAATTTTAAAAAATTTAATTTTAAAACTATACTGAATAGTTATATATAATAAATAAATTTACTAATTTTTCTTCAAAGTTCTATTGGCTAGAATTATTCGCATTAAATTACATGTCACTTTAAAAAGTTAAAGCCAGAATTAGTAGATGATATATTGAAACTTGAATTTTTTTATTAAACTATAAAAGGTGAATTTCTTAGGTGAAATTTTGAGATAAATAAGACTTTTCACATACGGCTAATAGAAACTCAGGATCCATTATTAGACTTGTGACTTGCATATTAAACCTGAATCATATGTTTGAATTATTTAAGTTATTCAAATCACGAAATTAATTTATTGAAAAAATATTATATTTAATTTGTGAACTGAAACTTTGTTTAATTCACAAATTGACAAATCTAATCATTAATACCAACTTATTAGAGTTAAATTGGCAATCCTGGTTTCTAATAAGAATAGTCCTAATAGTGTCTATCGGTCTTATTAGTTCAGTCACCCAGTCTCAAAAATAAGCTATTTTCAGCTATCATTATTAAAATAAAAATAGTTTTTTTTAAAAAAAATATATATTTATAGGCTTATTTTAAAGTTTGTCATTAACCGGTCTAAACTTATTCAAAGACCGAAAATAGTATAGCCGGTCAAAAAGACCAGACTGACCCAACTCTACAACCTATCTGTGATAATATGTAATTAAATACCGCTTATATTTTTTTATATTATCAGAATTTCATGCAGGTAAAAATATTAGTTACATTTTCAAGAATCGATAACTATATCGGTACTCTGTAAACTGTCAAATACAAAATTCAATAATTACGATATTTCATTTTGTGGCACTCAAATACTCAAATAATTTAAAAATAGTTTGTTCTATTTTTTATCGAAATGATAAGTCATTTGGCTGATTTATTTAATTAGAATTAAAGACAATAATTAACTTATCAATAATTCTGATGTCAATCAAATTTTCAAAAAAAAAGCGTTGAATTGTAATATCGATGATTATTATAGAAAAATAAATTTTATATAACTGAAGTTACTAGAAAAATAAATTTTATACAAACCCAAAGTCATCAAATCCATCTCATTTTAGTACAACAAACAAAACAGCATATGCACATTAACAACATGTATGATATTGTTTTCTTTTCCGATTGTATACTATCTTGTGTATTAAATAAGTTAGTAAATTGAACGATTAAATAATTATAATAAAATAATTATAATAAAACCTATATTTTATATAGCTTTAAAAACCTATTGTGTATTCTTTGCTTATTATTTTATAAAATGAATAATAAATTAGTTAGTAAAGATGCTGCTAGAAACTGTAAAAGAAAAGAAAATAAGACAGTTAAACAACATAATGTGTGTCTTGCTAAAGAACGAGATCAAAAGTACCAAAAAAGATCAAAAGAAACTTCTGAAGAACATAAAAAATGTCTTGAACATGATTGTGAATATCAACAAAAAAAATTAAAGAAGAAAATTGCTAAGAAACATAAAGAGCGTTTAAGACACCAGTGTGAAAGGATAAGCCAAAAAAGAATATTAGAAGCCACAAATCAAAGGATGAATCAAAATTCTAACTAACAGCAAAGTTTTCAACAATCCTTTATAACTGAATTCGATACAACTGAACTTGACATGTATGAAAGTAATGAAATTGAGCTTATTGCAACTGAACTTAGTGAAATTGATCAAGATCTTCTAAAAAATTTTTATAATAATATGAACAAGCTTCAGCATTTATCTTGCTCTATTTGTAATGAACATTTTCCTTCCATCATTCTTGTGGTAGAAAAATGCTGTCGCTACTATAATAAAAAGATTTTTCCAAACAAGTTTTTTAATGAAAACAATATGGACTCAGATGACATTCCTAAAGAGCTTCAAGGTTTAACAGAAATTGAAAAAATGCTGATTGCAAAGTCTTTACTGTAATATCAGTATATAGACTTTGTGGCGAGCAACATGGATATTGAGGAAATGTTATAAATTTTCCTTAAGACGTGTAGGAGTTCATCAATCAACTTCCTCATCACCCATCAACTTTAAAGGTACTTATTATTTGCCACCAATTTGCAAGCAACTTCCATCATTTAGAGATTTTACAGTTCATTGTGACAAGGTTGCGCATACATTATACTGATTAAAAGTTAATAATCACTATTATAGTGATATTTCGATTAATAATGAAGTTCTTCAGTCCTTGCTTGAAGATAGTTCTGTCCTTGAATATCTTCAACAAATTCAAAATATTTAAAGTAATGAGGATCTAAATGACAATGAAAATGACGATACAGTTATAAGAACTTTTGTTCCTATACTTCCTTCAACCCATTGTGAAGATATTGCTATTAATGATATTCTTAACTATATACAAGCAGAAAATCTACCTCTACTATGGCCACAAATCGATAATTGTTCTATTAATGAATTCCAGACTCCTGAATATATTGCTTGCGCATTCTCAACTCTCTATCCAACCGGCAGTGCAGATCTTTGTTCAGAATGTGCTAAAGATATTAAACTAACAGAATATTTTAAGCATCTGCTTCAAAACAAAGATGGAAGATTTGTACGTCATACACGTTATGATATTTCGCATTAAATTCACAAATGAGATAGAGAGCTCTACAAGAAGGCAAAGTATATGTTAGACAAAGGTTAACTAACTTAGAACTTACCGTTACAGATATTCAAGAGAAAGTTGCGGCAGGTGATAAACATATAACAGATCAAATAATGTAGTTCGGTATAGGTTTACGTGGATTCTGACAATTTTGGAATGCAAGACAATGCGAGTTGTCAGATATGATTAAGCAATTTGGCTCGCAAGAGATGGTCTTCTTTACATTTAGCTTAGCCGACTTATACTAGCCAGAGCTACATAATCTAATGCCACCAGTTAAAGCTTCAGAAGAGGTTAATGCTGCTAAATTTTGCTATAAAAGCTTGATTGAAAATCCACATATTGCAGCCTGATTTTTTAACAAGTGCTTTGAGATTTTCTTTAATAACGTGTTAAGACATCAATGGAATTTAGAAGACTGGTGATACAGATTCGAATGGCAGCATCGTGGTAGTGTTCATATCCATGGTATTGGGAAGATACGAAATGCACCTGCCATTAAATGGATACAAATGAATAAGATGAGAATACTATGAATAAGATATTATAATATCTTAATACCTTAGTTATCACAATAAATCCCAGACTTAATGCATCTGTTCCTAAACGCAACTCATGTCAAAAATGTCATGATGAGTTGCATGATGATCTTCAGGACTACATTGATTTAATAAATAAGCTTTAACATCATACACGATGTAGTCCATCTTATTATCTTCACGTTAATTGAGCAAAACAACAAAAATGCAGGTTTGGATATCCAAAAGATAGTGTCAAACATACCTTTGTATGTGATGACAGTCATGGTCAACCTGAACTTGTAATGGCAAGAAACAATCTATTAATAAATCCACATAGCAGACTCCAGCTGCAGGATTGGCACGCAAATGTTGATTTAAAGCCAGTATTAAAGACAATTACGGTACTATGGGGTCTTTGTTCCTTTAACCTTCGAATTTCCACTCGCTTAGCTGTTCACACAGTCTGGGGTTAACGTGCCAGGTATTTCCACCTCGACACCTCAGCAACGATGTCCACACAGCATATGAATTAGAACGTTTTTACTAAGCTAAAACTTGATTATTGCCGGATATATTTTTATCCAGGTTACACGCATTAGACTACAGAATTAGACTTCTAATTAATTTTATGCAGATCCGGATCACCCCACTTATGCAGATCCTGATCTTGATCGAACCCGGTGCCACGAAATCCCAGGGTACCAAATTAACCCATAATACGAGCTAGATCCCCCGGAACTTCATCCCCGAAGTTTCAACCTATGCAAACCAAATTCCAACACAAATTACCCTATTTACAATATCTAACACAATTTTACTAACAAACCTAATACTAATAATGCAATACTTTGTTCAATTAGCACATACACTAACAACAAAAAAAAATTTTTTTTTTTTTTTTTACAGACACCCTTGTGATTGCAACGTCCCTATGTCCATTCTTTCAAGTTTGCGTACATCTAGACGGCTTCCAAATATCATATTTTCTAATCCATCGCACCCAACAACATGATCTAAATACAATCGTCTCATAAAGTTGATCTTTTCACCGCCACACAGTACAACCTGATTCAAATTTACTTTTCGGCCCATAACTGCAGTAACACCAAGTGTTTTGATTATTCAGCGGTTTGTTCTACATGCTCTTGCCATATCTTTACTTTGATTATTCATCGCTATCACACTATTCAATGTTCGCTTCATGTTTAACTGATCCTGGGTCACTATACCAGATTTCAAGTCCCATCTAAATGCCTGACGTCCTTCCGTTTCATCCTCAATTCCATTTCCACGATAGAGTCCAAGATTCGATCGTTCATCAGTAGCTTTCTCGCCAACTCCATTTTCGCAACCATAACCAGGTTCACATATTCCATTTGTATCTTTCTTACTAGCAGATGTCTCATAATTAACAAAAGCCTTTTCCTCTTCTCTTCTAGGATCATTTCCATTCACATTACAACATCTAACTTCATGTTTCCTGCATGAATTACCACTTTTGGCAGATTTTAAACACCATTCGAGCATCTTATTTTCATCCTTTTCAATGTCAATACCGTTTTGGTAACAACGCCCAGGATTGTAGGCTTTATTAACATAATCTATTTTGTCAGATCTTTGATTGTAATTAAATGCTTTTTGTTCATTCATTCTAACTCCAATTCCATCACAATAGTTGTCTCCCCCATCAAGCATTTTCAACAAACCTTTCATTATAACATCCATTTTCGCGATTACATCCAATGATGCTTCAATCACCACCATTGGCCCATTCTGGAATCGATGTCTAATCTCGACTGCTTCCTCAGTATTGTCCATATTGGCTGATTCTTGATAATGTTCGAATGCCTTATATTCGTTTTTGTCAACTCCAATTTCATTTACATAACGGCTTCCAACCCTATCTATTCCATCAGCAGGACCCGTATCAGCATACTTTCGATAATAAATAGAGGCTTCATCCTTGTCTCTCTTCACTCCATTTTCATTTTTATTCAGGAATTGGTTATGTGTTCCTCTAGCGGCTTCTGTCTCTGCTGATCTCTGATAATGAATGAATGGCTTATGTTTATTCTTTTCGGCATCAACTCCCCTTTCATAACAATGTTCAACAATAAATGTCTCAGCAGGATTAACCACTTCCACAAACTTTTAATCATGAACAGATGTTTTATAACTATCCTTTACAATCTCAATTCCATCATTATTATCATCTCCAATGGCATGTATTCCATCTGCATTTTCTATATCAGCAGACTTGTGATGATAAACGAATGCTTCATGTTCGTTCTTATTAATTCCAATTCCATATTGATAACACAATCCGAAATCATTCTGTGCCTCTAAATCACCTTCATTGTTCCCGATTTTCTCCTTGTCAAAACTTTTAGGTATGTTCGTCGGTTTCGCTTCTTTCGTATAACTTGTTTTTTCATAGATCACCCTACTCATCTCCTTTTTGTCCTTCTCCCTTTTACCACACATTACTCTAAAATCCTCCTCTATAGTCATTGCATTCCTAATTCTATCGTTATTCCAATAACCGACTCTACACGTTCTGTTTGCGTTTTTCACTTCTGCTGATTTTTGATAATACCCGAGCCTTTTCCTTTTATCCTTTATGTTTATGAACCTCATACATCTTACATCCCTTACTTTCAGGTCTTTTGTACCCTTGTTTTCACTTCTCACTCGCGTCATTTGCACTGGACAAGAACGGACGGGCATAGTGTTCTACCTTTCTACATGCGTAACACAATCGTAGCCTTCGGGTTTGGTGCTTTCTTTTCTTGGCCTCTAGATCCTTTACTAATACTGTAACAATTTTTACTACAAGCTCAACTAGAGAGATTAGGCGGTTCACGCAGGTCATTGTGGTTTGTTTTACCACTCAGGTATGTAT